AAAAAAAAGGGAAAAATAAGGGGAAGGGAAGGGAGGGAGGGGGAGGGGGGGGGGGGGAGAAAAAAGGGGAGGGGGGGGGGGGGGGGGGGGGGGGGGGGGGGAAAAGGGGGAGGGGGGGGGGGGGGGGGAAGGAGAGGGGAAAGAAAAAAAAAGAAGAGGAAAGAAAAAAAAGAGAAAAAAAAAAAAAAAAAGTAAAAAAAAAAAAAAAAAAAAAAAAAAAAAAGAAAAAAAAAAAAAAAAGGGGGGGGGGGGGGGGGGGGGGGGGGGGGGGGGGGGAGGGGCGTAAGTATTGTGCCATATCTACTAAATTAAATACGTATATGCATACCATTTCTTAAATTTAATGTAAAAAAATTAATTAATTAATAAAATAAATTTTAGTTTTAAATTTCTATTTATTATTTTATTATTATTATTATTATATTACTATGGAGGTTAAGAATATAGAAATAATATATAATGTATCTATGTGTGTTGGAAATAAATAATTTATAGTAAAGATTCATCTATATTATGAAAATCGTCTAAATGATCATTTTCACGTCAACTCTAACACGAATAAACTCATCACACTTGAATATATAAACGGCGCAATTAAAAAAATATTCTCAGTGTTAATCCCTCAGTTACAGCAGCGCAAAAGTGCGAACAAAATAATTCTAAAAGCTTTTAAAAAGCGGAGACTAAACAGAAAGCGACGAAGCTTTATTCACTAAATTACACATTGGTACCTCATCGTATTTTATTGACGACAAGCCTATTAAACTTTTGTAAACACTGAAACAATAAGTGCCTATATGTTCCCATTTTTACTCGACCAGCATAATAAATAATTCAGCTTTATTTTAACCTTGTTTTGTTCAGCCACAGGACTGAACTTTAAACGTATTTTTATTAAACGATAAATCAACATGAAATTATGAATTTTGACATGAAATTGAGGGAAAAATTTATATATTAGCACTAGCTGCCCCCGCGAACTTCGTTTCTCCTTAATGTGATTTTACTTAGTCTACCTTTGTAGGACCTACCAACCTAGGACATTTTGCTATGCTACCCTGGAGACAGTTCGATTTTCCGGAATGAAAACTTTTTAGGTTTTTCTGTGATTTTTCTGTATAATAAACCTCGAGGTTCAAGTCATAAGTTTTAAATTAACAAATAAAACTTAGGGGTTGATCGTATAGGTGGTAAAATTATGGGTTGTATGTATTTTTATATTTTATATCATAAAAAAAATAAATTTAATCCAAAAAATAAAAAATATTTTTTTGGGGTGGACACCCCTTATCAATAAAGGGTTCGAAAGATATATAGTAGCCGATTCTCCGACTTATTGGATATACATGAAAAATTTCATAAGAATCGGTCGAGCCGTTTAGACACGAGAATTTTATATATTAGATTATAGAATTCGCAAGTCAATTAAAAACAATAATTCAATAATTTAATTAATTCTGAGCTACAATTAAAAAAACTGTTATTTAAATGATTATAAAATAAAAACAACAAAATACGATAGCTTTTATATTAGTTTTAGATAATAATAGTACAAGGTTACAATTATATTTTCGTGTAAGCGAAATCAGGATATACTTAAATTCTCTAAAAGCAAACAAACAGGTCAATGGACTTCTTTAGAAAGAGTATTAGATCCTAATATAGATATACAGTCAAACAAACTTCCCTTACAACCTATTTACAATCGTTATCGAGTACTATCAAGAATTATAGGACTAGCTGGAAACGCTCGATATTTAAACTATTTTCCGAGAAAGCAAGACAGCGCTTTCTTTTCAAACAATCATTACCTATGTAGTTAAGTGAGAAGTTTTGCAGCGTAAAAAGCTTTTATTGCTTAGAGATTTGATTCATTTATCTGCACGTGTTAGTGGTACGCGTAGGCGAACGAGTAGCGATACATGCAAGAGACCAAGCGTGACAGTTTAAACGCAAACGCATTAAAATGGAATTACCTTCGAGGTCTTCTTATTTCACGTCAATAAGAGAAACGCATATAACCGTGCTAAGTAAAGGACATGATTCAAAAGGTTTTATTTTTATATTTGTACACTAGTTCACTTAGATAAAAATTTTATAACTTTAGTATCAAATGATACTTCTTTTTTTTATACGAAAAATGTATGAAAATGTACGAATGATGTTAGGAAAATGTACAATGCCTCCAATGAAGGATATAAGGCCGCCACGCAAGCCAAGTTTCGGTTGGTGGATGGCACCTGTCTAGTATATATTCTCCACTATCTCCTAAATTCTCAGTGAACTGGCATTTAAATCATAAAAAACAAATGTGTGTGTACTTATGTACACGCGTTAGAAGTTATACTTCTTTGACGTAACAATATAAAAATCTTTTTAACATTTTATCTTTCGCCTTATTCTACGTTTGTTAAAAACGACACTAACAATAGAAAAAAGGTATTTACTACCTTAAAAGTTTTATTATAACGCATTATCTAGTTAAAAAAAGTTTATTTAA